TGTATAATTCCAACTAATGTATTTCAATAATATAAATGGCTTCGAAATAAGGGTGCTAATTTACAATAATAAGGCCCTCTTATGTGTTTTTTCTTTTTCGTAAAAATAAAATTTAATCTAATAAAATTATTATATTTTCAATTTGCTTAGAGTAAGAAGAGTCTTTCATGCTCGTATCTGCGATATATAATTTTTTATATCATAATTTTGTTAAATATGCCTTCTCGGAGTACAATTATTAAAATGCGATAAAAGTGTATGAATCTTATTCTTCACTCGTCGCACATCCACTGGAAAACCACATTATTTCCTTTATTAATTTTCTAATGGATTTCTACTTGCGCCGTTCGGGCAAATAAATTGCATTTTGCTGTTTTTGTGAGTCTGAAGCAGGCTTTTTAATGTTCCTATTGATTTGGTTTGATGCTTGTTTTTCCATTTAAATTGATATTTATGTGCATAAATTGGCAATAAATATGAAATTTTGCTGATACCAGACAAGTTTTTTGTACATTTTTCGCCATTTTTTCCATCACAGGGCAAATATATACAATATAATACAATATAAATATGTAAAGATAGAGATAGTGTGTGCATATAATTGTTTACATTATTATAAGTTAAATATATAATTGAATTATTTAATATAATTAATGTTTTGGGGTTTTTTGAGTGCTTTGCCTTTTAAGGGAAATCCTACATCTTACATCTTAATTTTATAATGAATTAAATAAAAATTGTTGATATTTTAAAGTGTCATTTATTATAGTGTGTTGTGTCTGCCTGTTAGTAGTTCAGCGCACTCACAAGCCGCTCATGACACGGTGGATAGCTCGGTATGCTCGTCGGTTGTGGGGTGAGTTTCTTCGCAACTGAATAATTACTACAGACGACAAGAAAAAAAAATTATTCGTGCATGAGCGCCTTTTGGAACCGCTAACTACCAACAGGCAGACATAACAAATGGCGCCCAAACGTGAAACCCGATCCTACGACCCTGAGATTAAGAGTCTCATGTTCTACCGACTGAGCTAGCCTGGCTGGAGACCATGCCATGAGCGGCTTCTGAGAGCGCTGAAGTACCAACAGGCAGAGTGTTTGATGTGACACTTCAAATAAAGTATCACTAAGCTTTGCAAAAACAGCTGTTATTTTTTGATTTGTCAAATATTTTTTCCGTATTGCCAACTAAGCAAATTTTTGTTAGTCCCCCGTAATTGTTAGCAAATATATATTTACATTAAATCACTCTTAATACTATCACATTAAAATACTTTTTATAGGAACAAAGATAAGTCCAACAATTCTGACCAATAAAGAGTACAGACCTTTAAAGAAATGTACTTCATATGTGAAATGAAAACTGAGGAATAGCAATATTCCATGGTTAAAAGAATTCTCCGTAAATGAGAGCATTCGTTCAAAAGTGCTTTCATTTTATTTAACAGTTTTATTTAAAATAATTTTATATTAATTAATTTATAATTTTCACTTGAAAATGTACTCTAAAGTAATTATACATGTGTTTATCATGACAAATTAGTTTGTAAAACATTACATGCAGTGCTGTTATACATCTTTCAAGTGCTATTAAGGGAATAATTACATACTGCACAAAGGAAATCAATTATTACGTGTATAAATATATAATTAAATAGTAAAACTTATAACAACAAAGTATGAAAATTATTTATTAAAATCAATACATTTTTTTCCCATGTTTTGAAGACAAATATGTGATTTCTAATAAACTCTGTCCGCAGAGTCGAGATCCAAGTTATTGCAATATAATCAGTCTAATAAAAAAATTAACGATGAATCCGAGTCATTTTAATATGAAATTGCTTTATGATATCAATCATTAATTAATTTTCTGTATACAAACAAAAAAACCAATATATACATAATTTAACTTAATAAAAAAGAAAGTGATATACCTAATAAGTATATATGTGGTTAAGTATAAATGTTTGACTATATTTGTAGGGCTACCATTAATAAAAATTTCGAAGATTTTATTTATTATTATTAATTTTATTATTATTTCAGTTTTATTATTATTATTTATTTCCTTGAACTTTTTCATTGGAAGTTTCAGCTAAAATCTAAACTACCTACTTTTTCCCGATGAATAGAGACAAAGTAACCATGTTAAGAAGTTTTGGGATACATATGCAACGAAATACATTACTGTCTAGAAAAATAAAGACCTAAATCTAAATCATTTTGTACTCTGGTGAAAGGGGACACAATGGAAAATTCATATATCTGAGGAAAGTCCAGTTTTAAAACCACTGAATGAACAATAAAGACAAAAGACTGTCCAAAAAATGTATTAATTTAAACAAGGCAGTTTCTAGTAGAGTGATCATAAAAGAACCAAAATTTTCACAGATTTTGTGACTTTAAGCTGCATGCAATTAATTGGATTAAAAACATTCTGTCCGTTTTCATGAGAATATGTAGTGGAAAAAATCAGATACTAAATACTAGGAAGAAATCCAATTTTAAAACCACTGGATGAAATGTGGATGCCCAAGACACAACAAAAGATTTTTTAACTCATATTATACGGTCTATATTTGACTCCTTGTATGGAGCACAGAGAATAGCTAAATTCTTACAGTACTTTTTATACGGCACTGAGAGCTGAAGTACTATCTATTCAAAGTGAACCTTTTAGAGACCAAGGCAATTATTCGGCATTAGGAGCTGGAGTACTATCTATTCAAAATGGAACTTTCAGAGACCAGAGTTTTTTATACGGCACCGAGAGTTGAACTACTATCTATTCAAAGTGAATCTTTCAGAGACCAATGCAGTTATACGGCACTAGGAGCTATAATACTATATATTGAAATTGGATCTTTCAGAGACAAGTATTTGTTTCTTTTATTCTCACAAAGTCACAACTTCTTTATTTTCTTTATTTTAACACAAATAAATTTGTATTAAAAATGTTAGCAGTTTTAGGATATAAATACTTATTGTTAGCTTCTATATAAAAATATATATTTAATAATTAATTTTAATATTAAAAAAAGTTTCGAGAAATAATTTCAATATTTAAAAAATATAAAAAAATAATATTTTTATTATTTCTACTTAATCTCAAGAATAATGTTTAATAAACTAACTAATGTTATAAGTTATTTAAACGTAAGGTTTTTGAGATAAAGACTGATTTTTTTGCTGATGGAAGAATCTGTTTTGAGGCTCTACATCTGAGTGAAATTTAATAATTTGACCCTAGATTTCTGTATAATTTTTTTGCTACTTGTATTAAAAAATTATCTTCAAAATCTACAGGAGTTATTCTGTATACCCTGTATCTGGTATACCATATATACTCATACGTATTTAGGCTCATTAACGTTGACTTAAACCATAGGGCATTTTTATAATTTATAAAACTAAATTTAATATTAAGTAAATTGTTAATTATGTGCAATGTTTTTTTAAGTTTCAGATGAGTTTAATTAAATAATAAAACAATTTATTAAGAATATTTATCTGAAATAATGCTTATGTATCTTCTACTGAGTTATTCCCTTTTGCAGCACCGATCGCGTGCTCCTTCAGTGCTAGTCGCTAGTCGTAGAAGGATGGAAGAGCTATTACTGATAGTGAGTAGTAATTTCTCGGCATTCAATTATAATAAACATTGTTAATTATATCTAATAATATTTTTAATTATTTAATATATTATTTTTAATGAGAATGAGAAATAAAACACCTAAACGATGATTAATTCTGTTGCGCTCACTGGCAATGGCTTGGAAATTATGTTCAGATACATTGCTTTGTTATCTGCTGAGGTGAGGAGGAATTGTATTTGTGTGTGTAATTATGTACACCTTTGAATAAATAAAATTAATTGAAGTACTTTTTAAACAATTGTTTGTTGTAAGTTGTGTGTACCTAGATATATAGTGTGGCTATTTACAATGTGTTAAGAACACTTTTTATCTGTTTTTATGTATATTTTTGAATAATTAATAAATGATTTTGTTGCGTGTGTTTTAATATTTAAACGTTGTATTTGTTTTTAAGTTGTTTTACAAAACAAAAACGAAAAAAAACTTGCGTGTTAAACATTTTATTATCATTAAAACGAGTACACTAAACATATACATACATAAATATATACAAACAAGTATATATGATAGTATTTATTAACATGAAATTTTTTTTTATTAATTATTTTTTATATTTTATATATTTTAGCAAGCATTGCATTGTTTAATTCTTACTACACATAAGATATATATATATATATATATAGGATTTTGTAAAAGATACTTATCGCATTGTTTAGGCGAATGTATCTTAAATTATTTCAATTATGATTTCATGCACATGCTATAAAAATATATATCTAAAAGAAAATTCACACAACATTCATAATTATTTTATATTTTTTAGTTAAAATTTTTTTAAAAATTTTTGTATTCTTGTTACCTCCTTAACGACTGCTAAACTGTAGTGCCTCGCCCACTAAGAAGTTATTGAGCAATTAACTTGACATTAAAAAGTACAAATTTTAAAATAAACACGCATTCTCAAAAAAGTAAAAAGTACAAAAAGCCTTGAGATCGGGAATGGGGAAGGAAAGTATATCGAAATAAATAAACGTTCCTAGAAGTTTTAGAAATTTTTAATTGCTCACTAAGGAACAAATTACACACAAAAAGCCAATTCACTTTAATTCAAATCTGATTTAGCAAATAAATAACAATTTTTTCTACTTCACAATTGATCAATCGAATTTTGATTAAAAATAAAATCATATAACAAAAATCAAAATTTTTAATATTGTCTCATATTTTTTTTTTTTTTTTTAAAACAAAAATTAGGCTTTGAATCAAAAATCAAAAATAGTTTAATTCATTTGTAGTTTGGTAATTTTGTTTTTATTTTTTGCAAAATATAATTAAAGAAAATTATCACAAAGAAAAAATAATAAATATATAAATTAAATAGAAAAATTTGTTACTTACCTAACCAGTCTGGAAGTAAGGATCCCGCAAGAGATTCTGAGTATCTCTTACCTGAAACATAAAAGAAAATTTTTGTTTAGATAATAAATTTAAAATAATTATGAGTGTTTAAAAAATAAATAAATAAAAATTAAGTAGAAGCAAAATTAAAATAAAAATAATTAAAAAAACTTAAAGAAACTTTTTAATGAATTTAAATAAAATAATATATATATAGTAATAAAAAGTGTGTTAAGAAAATAATTTTTACTAATTCATTTATTTAATTATTTTTGTATAAATAATGAAAGGTTTGTAATAAAAATTTTTTTTCAATTTATTTATTAAGTTATATTTATAAAAATAATAAACACGTTAAGAAATAAAAATTTATTATTATAAATATTATACAAAAATAAATATTATATTAAATAAATATTGTAGAAAAAATTTATGCAAAATTAATTAAGATTATTTATAAAAATAATAAATATTACACATAAATTTGTTATAATAAAATTTATATATAATTACAAAAAAATATAAAATATATAAAAAAAGAACTCAAAGTAAACAAACGAAAAGCTAAGAAACTGAGAGTAAAAGATGAAAAATCTATCCTTTTGTGAATTTTCCACTTAATAACTTTTTAATAACTTAAAACAAGTAATTCATTTTTTATTCTTAAAAAGAAAACAAAAAAAAGAAAAAATCTTTTGTATATTAAACTATAAAACGCATATGACACTCTTCCAAGTTGCGCATAAATAACTCATTTAAGGAGCAAGAATATGTAAATCTTCCTTGAGAATGGAAAGCAAGTACACATGTACTTTGTAAAGTTAATCTTTGCATTATTAAGGATACGTCGTCGTGTAAATGTGTGTTCAGCCATACTAACATTACGTTACGTTACGTTATGTTATGTTAAGTTAGGCAACATTACGTTAATCTAATAAGTTTAGTCGCTTGAAAATTTATTTGCTTCAAGATTTTCATACTAAGAGTATTTTTCATGGCATAAGTAGCGTTGGAAAGGTAAAAATGAGTTAGAGAACGCGTCAGATGTGCAATTCGCATAAATTATCTTCCACTTTTCTAAGAGTTAGGAACATGCAAAATTTACATAAATTTAACGTAAATGCAAGTTGGCGTCAAAAGTCAACAGATCTTTCAAAATTATATTTCTTTGATGCAGATATAATAGATTTTGATAAGAGTTGAGGGCAGATGTTTTACTTTAACTGAAAGTCAACAAAAAAAAAAATACTAAGAGTATTTACCTACATCAAAATTAGTTAAACCATCTACACACATAGACATGGATAGAAATTATTTAAAAATATACTGAGAGCAATTACAACGAGACTAGGTAAACCATTAAGAGAGATATATGACTGATTATTAGAATAAAAATATATTAAAAATTTTTACATCGAATTTAGTCAGATCAACTAGAGAGATAGATAAGAGATGTTCAGAAAAAATATTGAGAGTATTTACAACGAGATTAGTAGACCATATAGAGAGATATATAAGTGATAATTAGAAAAAATATTGAAAATATTTACATTAAAATTAGTTTAAACATATAGAAAGATATATAAGAGATGATTGAAAAAAGTACTGAACGTATTTACATCGAAATTAGTAAATTATATGGAGAGATATATAAGTAATGATTAGAAAAAATATATTAAGAGCATTTATAATGATATTAATCACATCATTTTAACAGATATGTGAAAGATAATTGTAAAAAATACTGTGAGTATTTATATAGAAATTAAGGCTGTCATTAATTTCATAATTAGTTGAAATTAATTAGATGGTACCATCGAAAGAGTTCCAAAAATATATACATTAGGGACAGTTACATCTAATAGTGAGATATGAGAGAAATAGTAAGAAAAAATTATAAAATTGTTTACAACGAGATTTCTTAGAGAGATGTATGGCAGTTGAGTGAAAAGAAATACTGAGAGTATTTACATTGACATTAACTAAAATATCTTGAAAGATATAAACTCAAGCTAACATTTGAATAGTTTTTTAAACTAAATAATATTTTGAAGGAGTGAATCCTTATACCACATCATATTGAAATCCTTAGTAATTTAAAGTATACAATAATTTTTTGCCATTATATATTATATATATTTTATATAATATATAACATTACTACCGTCGCCACTGTAATTGAAATGTAGGCTTGGTCTTTTGAGAAGTCAATCTACCCATTTTGTGACCTGACTATTTAGGAGCTCTTAGAGTTTGAGCGTTATCTGCATTATCTATCACAAAAATCTGTCTTAAATTATTTCCCTGCTGATTCCTCATCCGAAAAAAATATACTCAACCATCAGAATCTATCAAGAATCTACTGAATCTATTACAGTGACTACAGCTGCTTGAAGACAGATCCAGCGGACATTTACCGTTCAGTATCTTCAGAATCGTCGTTCTGCATATGTGAGGCCAATAATTCTCCGAAAAATTTTTGTCAGGAAGGCTGCTAGTAAAAAAAAACAATTCTTACAAAGTAGTTAAATCTGAGTTGCTGTGTTAATATTGGTAGTACCATTATCTTACACAACCGTAGCTTACATGCTATGGTATCGTTATTGAAATTATATAATTTCAATCTGTTCTTAGATCTGAATCGTCATCCGTTGTATACTTCGTCTTTTAAGTACAAAAATGACGGCAAAATATAGAATATACAACTGATGACATAATTTAATTGTAAGTCTAGTTTTCTGTAGATGACTCTCAAAGAGCGATCGAAGTATTGAAAATATATATACATATATAAAATAGTTTGTAAGAAGTACTTAGCAATTTAATTTTTCTATGTTTTGTAATTTTCTATGTTATTTATGTGAGTAGAGGAGTATATTTTATAGAAGATAATCAACAATATTGTATGTTGTAACATCACGTCGATGAGATGTGGGGGATATTTTCTGGTATTTTTTCATTATCTTATGTGTATAAGTTGGTGTGGTTCATGTGGTTGGTGTTACTTTAGAACTCCTTTATTAATCAGTTTGGTTAATATTTTAGCGATTATCTATCAACCATCATTTGGCGGTTGATATATGTTGATGTTATATATGATATGGGTCGTTCTTATGTCTAACTCATATCGTAGAACCAATACAATTTCATTCATTACGTTGCACAAGTAATAATGTGGTTGTTGTTCATTACTGTCTACTATGTGTAGTTGATAATGAGACTCATTAAATTAATAATAAAATCCATTTACTCACAATTTTAGCAGATACCCTTGGCAGAGCAGATTATATCATATAATTGCTCTTTACAAGTTATTGTTCACAAAGTGTAGAGTCCATAGTAGTCGTCCATAATTTCATGACAAATAAGCTTTAGTCTATTGGACGCTACACTGACATCTGCTATATTTCGTTTTAATATGAAAATATCAAAAACATAAAATAGATATATATAAACTACTTAAAACAAAAACAGTATATATATGTGTATATATAATGTACATATAAATGTATTTTTATAAATTAATGTAAAATGGAAAAACAACAACTGTTCTAATAAAGTTATTACCATTTCTGCATTACTTTGAGATAGTTTGCATGACTGAGTCGTCATAATCTGAAAAAGTCTAATAAGTAGCGATTTTGCATCATAAAAGACAATTTGCTCCTTAGTTTAGCGATTTTATCTTTGTAACTTAATATCCAGTATATGGCAACGACATTTTTATTTGCACCCAATGAACTTAAAATTATGTAGGAACATCTGTCACAAGTGATGTGTAATATTTTTATAAAAATGTTTAGTTAATTGCATTTTATGTTGTTTATAGTGTGAAATCTCTCATATATGAATTATAAAATAAATATAAAATATATCTTTTTTTGTTTTAATTTTCATATAAAACATTTAAAATGCCAGTTTTTAATAACATTTCTTTTTTTGCACCTTTAAATTGTTGGAGCTGCCGCTCGATTCATATGACATGAATGGCGTCAAAGTAGGGAGGCTGGTTTGCTCTGCCAGATAAAAAGCAATTTTTTTTTCACTTAATTTTTCGCCCCATTTATATGCAAATAAATCACACTAAGGCAACCATACGTCGTACTTTTGCGCTGAAATATATACACAGATAGATATATATATGCACACTTTTTATGGGGACTTGGTGGCAGATAGCAATATGTTTAGCATGAATGCGTGTGCTGAAGCTTAAATATGCTTATATATCCCCACATAAATACATACTTATGTATGTATGTTTGTATGATGTATGTAGGTATATATTAAAGTTCAGCATATATAGTATATTTGCTTACATATGTGTGTTTATGGAATTTGTATGAATGCCATTTATCTGCTCACACTATTTGTCATGATTTAAAGATATATTTTTAAACTTTTTTATTGCATCCCATATATATATCCGAGTGATATTTTATAATGAAAATCCCTTTTTCAACTGCATACTCGTACGTACGTACAAATTGCTGATGCATGCAACAGCAGAAGCGATATGTATGTAAATGCAGCGCAAGGGAATGTACTCGTAAGCACGCTAAAATGCACAATTTTCACATTTGACTAAATTTAAATCATTGGATGCGAAATACATAAATTGCACAATGAAATGCCAATAAATAAATTAAATTAATGGTAATGTAGGCGCGTAATTCTTCTCTCGAAACGTTACGTTTCCTATACTTAAAGTTTAAGGGCGACTATACCATATATTTGAAATACTTGGGGTTGATTCTATTCGTATAAGGGAAATATTATACTATTTCTACTTAGTTCAAAATAAACAAATATATCAAATCAGCTGTTAAATTCCTATAAAGAAACATATTTTCATTTTATATATAAATATATATTTTTTTTTTCAGTTTGTAGTTTAATCAAATTATTTTAATAACACTTTTTACCCTTTAACAAATTCATTCGAATAGAAAAACAGACAATAAACATTATTGCTTCAGAGCAAAACTACTTGGATTTACTTCACTATTTATTTTAATGAAAAAAATACAGAAAAACAGAAAAAAAAAATATAT